ACCTTTGCCTGTTGCTAGTGTCGGTACTTGTGCTTTTAGTGTAGGTGCTTGTGTAGTCACTAGCCCAGCCGTGACGACTGCTGTTGCGTCGCTCTCCTTCACGCTGGACTCCGGCGCGTCTCAGTGCTTCTTCCGCGACCACACCACTGTCACACCTCTTTCGGCTCCAGTCCCAGTTGCCCTGGCTGATCCTACTTCAGGACCAGCAGTTGCTCGCAGCTCGACCACTCTCCCGTGCCCAGCTGTCCCCTCTGGTTTCCTCACTGGTCTCTACATCCCCTCGTTCTCTCGGAACTTGGTGGGTGTTGGATACCTTAAGGACCGGGGGATCACAGTCACTTTTCCTGCGCACCAGAGGACTGCGATCTGTACGGACTCTTCCACCGGGGCAGTTCTTGCCACGTTCACCAGAGAGCCCCACTCAGGTCTCTTCGTCCTGCACACTCCGCCCCTGCAGGTAGCTGCGTCTGGTCAGGTTGCTTCGTCCCCCCCGATAGCAGAGTCCGGTCAGGTTACTGCGTCCCCACCGGTTGCTGTGTCCGGTCAGGTTGCTTTGTCCTGTCAGGTTGCTGTGTCCGGTCTAGTTGCTGCGTCTTGCTCGTGTCGGTCTTTCACCCACCGGACCGTCTTGTGGCACCACCGTCTTGGCCACCCGTCGATCCCCTGCCTCCGCACTATGGCTAGTCACCGTCTTGTTTCAGGTCTCCCTCGCGTCTTCCCGTCGCTCCCTCCCTCGCCTGCGCCGCCGTGCACTCCTTGTGTCGCCGGCCGTCTTCGTGCCACTCCGCACTCCTCCTCCCTTCGTCCGGCCACTACTCCCTTCCAGACACTCCACTTGGATGTCTGGGGCCCTGCACCTACGCAGGGACCTGAGAGGGAGCGCTACTTTCTGGTGGACGTCGACGACTTCTCCAGGTACACCACGGTGTTTCCTCTCGCGAAGAAGTCCGAGGTGACTTCTACGCTGATCCGGTGGCTTCTAGCCACTGAGGGCACTCGTGGCCGTCGTGTCTCCTGTCTCCACTCTGACCGTGGGGGTGAGTTTCGCTCAGGCATTCTTGCCGGATTCTGCAGCGAGCAGGGCATCGTACAGTCCTGGACGGTGCCGGAGTCCCCACAGCAGAATGGGGTTGCTGAGCGCCGCATTGGCTTGGTCATGGACATCGCCCGCACGTCCATGATTCATGCCCGTGCGCCCCATTTTCTGTGGCCCTACGCGGTTCGCTACGCCGCTCACCAGCTGAACCTCCAGCCGCGTGTCTCGCGGCCAGAGGCTTCACCGACCAGTCTTTGGACCGGGTCCCCTGGTGTTGGATCAACCTTTCGTCTCTGGGGCTGCCTTCCGCTTGTTTGCGACACCTCTGCGGACAAGCTCTCCTCCACCGCAGTCTCCTCCACCGCAGTCTCCTCCACCTGGTGTCCCACACTCTCGTGTCCGTCCCTGCCCTCCGCGTGCTCGTCACTCGTCTCCCGTTACCGACCTCCGCACTGCCCTCCTTTGTTCGTCTCTTCGTCGTCCTCCTCCTGAGTCCGTTCTCCCGTCTCCTCCTCCGTCCTCTCTCCCTTTCCCCCCTACTCCTGTCACTGACTACTACCGCGCTGTTCGTCTTGTTGTCTCTCGTGTCCTCGCCACTCTTGTCACCGACTCTCGTTTCCCTCTGTCGTCTGTCTCGGCTCTCACTGCCGCTGTCGCTGAGTTTGCTGCCGCCAGTCGCCTTGACTACACCACCCGTGTGGTGCGAGCTCCTCCCTCCCGTCCTTTGTCCGTCGGGGGTGAATTTGCCCTTGGCTATGACGTCCTAGAGGACGGAGAGTCTGAGCTGGAGTACTGGGCAGCTGCTTCTCCCTCTGGCTGTGCCATGCTGCTATCCCCTGAGGGAGACCCCGACGCCCTTGACATACCGACTCCTCGTACTTACCGCGAGGCAATGTCAGGGGCGTGGGCCTCACAGTGGAAAGCGGCTATGGCCTCGGAGTTAGCGTCTTGGAGATCCACAGGCACCTACGTCGACGCAGTTCCCCCTCCCAGGGCGAACGTAGTCGATGGCATGTGGCTCTTCAAGGTGAAGCGGCCGCCTGGTTCACCGCCTGTGTTCAAGGCGCGCTACGTGGCTAGGGGTTTCAGTCAGCGTGAGGGAGTTGACTTCTTCCAGACCTTCGCCCCGACCCCGAAGATGACTACTCTTCGGGTGTTACTGCACGTAGCAGCACAGCGAGACTACGAGCTGCACTCCCTTGACTTCTCTACTGCGTTTCTCCAGGGCCGACTACACGAGAAGATCTGGCTGCGCCGCCCTCCTGGCTTCACTGACACCTTCCCACCTGGGACCCAGTGGAGCCTGAGACGGCCAGTCTACGGTCTCCGCCAGTCGCCCCGTGAGTGGCACGACACTCTTCGCTCCACGCTTCGTGACCTTGGGTTTCGTCCTTCCTCTGCCGACCCGTCGCTGTTTGTTCGCACTGGTTCCACTCCTTTCTTTATACTAGTGTACGTCGACGACTTGGTCTTTGCCACAGCAGATAGGGCAGCTCTGGCTCAGGTGAAGTCCGAACTGCAGAAGAGACACAAATGCACTGACCTAGGTGAACTGCAGCGCTACCTTGGCCTGCAGATCACCAGGGACAGAGCCGCTCGCACAATCACACTGACTCAGTCACACATGGTGCAGCAGGTCCTTCGGCGGTTCGACTTCTAGTTCTCCACCACACAGCCCACACCTCTTGCTGTTGACCACAGACTCACTGGTCCCTTTCCGGACGAGCCGTTTGAGTCCAGTGGTCCCTACGCAGAGCTGGTGGGCTGCCTCATGTACCTGATGACTTGTACTCGGCCGGACCTCGCCTTTCCCCTCAGCATCCTTTCTCGCTTTGTTGCGACTGGTAGACACCGTCCTGTCCACTGGACAGCTGCTGTGAGGGTGGCGAAGTACCTGGCGACTAGATCAGGCATGGGGCTTGTGCTTGGAGGGACTCAGCCAGTTGTGTTGGCCGGTCACTGCGACTCTTCCTACGCTGACGACGTGGAGACTCAGCGCTCGACTCAGGGTTACTGCTTCAGTCTGGGAGCTGGTGCTGTGTCGTGGAGGTCTACCCGGTCGTCGTCTGTGGCTACTTCCAGTGCAGAGGTAGAGATCTACGCTGGTGCCATGGCGGCACAGGAGCTTCGCTGGTTGACCTTCTTGCTCGCCGACCTTGGTGAGCGGCCTCGCTCTACACCGACCTTGTACGCTGAAAACAAGGCCATGATCCTCCTCTGTCGAGAGCCTCGACTGGAGAGCAGAGTGAAGCATATTGACGTGAGGTACTTCCTCCTGCGAGAGCTGCAGCGACGCTGCCAGGCACGCCTGGACTTTGTGGCCTCAGAGGCCAACACCGCAGACGTCTTCACCAAGGCCCTGGCGTTTGGTGACCACCACAGGTTCTGTGTGCAGTTGGGGCTTGTTGAGGTAGGCCCTCGGTTGCTGTAGACTTGTTGCTTGCTCTGCTTGTTGTGTTTTCCTATATATCCTAGTGACCTCTTAAACTGGCCTTGTGGCCGCTTGCTTGTGCTCGGAATTTGTGTGGTGTCCTTGAGATCCACCCTGAGCTTGCTTTGCTTCTTGTCTTGACTGGTCTTGTGACCGTTTGTCTGCCTTGCTTGTTTTGATGCCTCTCACTTAGCCTATGGGGGTGTGTCAAATGATGATATTTGTGATAGGCTGTAGTGAGGTGCTCCTTAATGAGTACAAACATGTTAGGGTTTCCTATTTGTACCCCAACTCCTTTCTAGTCAAGCATTCCGTTGCATTCTAACTTTGAGAGTAAGATACAAAGTGGCATGAAATTCAGACAAATCAAGGTTCGGAAGACACAAACCAAGTAACTTTGTGTCTTCCGAATCTCCGTCGTCGTGTCTGTCACGAATGCACCCTAAGGTCCTCATGTCGAGCGACTTCATTCAAAATAAGTACGAGTTGCAGTTTGGGAAATCCCAGTGAATGGTGCCGAACTGACGAGCTGAATGGTGCCGAGCTGAATGGTGCCGTGCTGAATGGTGCCGTGCTGAATGAATGGTGCCGAGCTGAATGAATGGTGCCGAGCTGCCACTTGAACACCAGCTACGGTAGTTGTGGACTGGAGTGCTTCAATCACGCCCGATGCTCCCAACAAAAACTCACACAAAAATTACACTCATGTTTACATTAGAGGTCACGACTGTCTCCTTAAAGCCAGCAGCTAAAATAGTGACCCCCCCTTCTAGTTGGGTCCACTTGAAAATACAAGTTTGTTACGAACGTTTGAAAAGTTGACGGCCTGTCGTTTACAAATCTGATTGGTGGCGAGTCTTGATCTGAACGGGAAACATGAGGAACTTGTTTACAAATCTGATTGGTGGCGACTTTCACCCACATTCGTGTGCGAATTTGGCGCAAGGCTGCGATCCCACATTCAATAGAGAAGCCGTCGTAACTTCACAAGAATTCCCATATGCAAAAAACAGCGCACACACAGGCAAAATCCAGCGCGCACACAAGCAAAAACTAGCAAAATCCTGCGCGAACACTGGCATGATCAAGCAAAATCCATGGCACACAAAGAAATGAATGATGTACGAAAAGAGGAAGGGCGTCGGGACGGTTGATTGGTCGACGGCGAAGACAAGGGACTGGGGACAAGGGGGCCGACGGGAGAGGAGGGGAGAGAGGGGGGACGACGGGATGGGAGGGGAGAGAGGAAGAACGACGGGATAGGAGGGAAGAGAGGAGGAACGACGGGATGGGAGGGGAGAGAGGAAGAAAGACGGGATGGGAGGGTAGAGAGGAGGAACGACGGGATGGGAGGGTAGAGAGGAACGACGGGATGGAAGGGGAGAGAGGAACGACGGGATGCGGGGAGGGAAGACAGATTGTGAGGGGAGGGAGGAAGGGCGCGGAGAGGGCATTACATAGCAAGAGCGAAGGCGACGAGGTCAGTGATGAACCGGGTGGATACGATGGGCGACTTGGAGAGCGTTTCAGAGATTAATGATTGGGGAGAAGAGACGAAAGGCGATGGGAAGGCATTTCGGGGCGAGCACGAGGGCGACGAGGTCGGTGATGGGACGGGAGAGAGGAAGGGCGCGGGGAGCGCGTTTGAGTGCGAGCGCGAAGGCGACGAGGCAGGCGATGGGAGGAGAAAGTGGGTGGGGGACGGGAAGGCGTTTCGTGGCGAGCGGGAAGGCGATGGGGTGGGTGATGGTGGGTGGGAGAGGAATTTGCGACGGCTGCATCTAGGGCGACGGGAAGGGAGCGGCGTGAGAGAGAGCGACGCGCATGGAGCAGCGAGAGAGAGAGAGAGAGAGCGCGACGGGAAGGGAGCGGAGAGAGCAAGAGTGACGGGAAGGGAGGGGAGAGAGATAGAGCGACGGGAAGGGATGGGAGAATTTGATTGCAACGGAAAGGGAGCGGCGAGAGAGAGAGCGACGAGAAGAGAGAGGAGAAGGCGATTGGTTCAGGAAAGGGAGCGGCGAGAGAGAGAGCGACGCGCAGGGAGCAGCGAGAGAGAGAGCGCGCCGGGAAGGGAGCGGCGAGAGAGAGAGCGACGGGAAGGGAGGGGAGAGAGCAAGAGCGACGGGAAGGGAGGGGAGAGAGATAGAGCGACAGGAAGGGAGGGGAGAGAGATAGAGCGACGGGAAGGGATGGGAGAAGGCGATTGCAACGGAAAGGGAGCGGCGAGAGAGAGAGCGACGAGAAGGGAGAGGAGAAGGCGATTGGTTCAGGAAAGGGAGCGGCGAGAGAGAGAGAGAGCGACGGGAAAATCGCGAGGGTGATTGGAGGAGAGGGGTAATGGAGATGACGGCAGGAGGGCGACGGGACGGCGACGGGACGGTCGATCGGAACGGGAGGGCGAGCGAGATGAGATAGGAAGGCGGCGAGAGGGCATTCGAAACGGCACAAAGTACTACACAACCATGCCAGCTTCACTACGCGTCTAAATTGAAACAACAACGGCAAAAGTTGACGGTTCTATGGAGACATGCTACACATAACTAAGAAATAGAGATGTATGATCGGAAGAACTAGTAGTTGTTCACCCAGACCCAACTTGAACCCCAAGCTGGGCCCAAAATCGCAAGGACGTGCATGAGCGATCGCAGTGCTAGTGTTGTGCAGCTTCCCAAACTGATATGCGACGCCTGACGTGCTGTGTTCCTTCTTTTGGTTTTGGCGGGAACCAATCAGATGTGTTCGAACTGCCAAAAACGCTCTCAATGAAACACTGGATGCTTGTCGGTTTGGTTCGAAAATTGTTTCGCACGGCAAGCCCTCTTTCAAGCTGGCGTTGGGTTCACTATTTTGCATTTCGGTTTTAAAAGAATGCGTGCAGCAGCAGCAGCGGCACCAAAGCCGTTGTCAATGTTCACAACGGTGACACCCGGTGCACACGCATTGAGCGCTGCCAGCAGCGCTGCCACGCCGCCAAATGATGCTCCGTACCCCACATTGGGGGGCATGGGATATAGGGGGGATGCAGGGAGTGAGAGGGGGGATGCAGGGAGTGAGAGGGGGAATGCAGGGAGTGAGAGGGGGAATGCAGGGAGTGAGAGGGGGAATGCAGGGAGTGAGAGGGGGAATGCAGGGAGTGAGAGGGGGAATGCAGGGAGTGAGAGGGGGAATGCAGGGAGTGAGAGGGGGAATGCAGGGAGTGAGAGGGGGAATGCAGGGAGTGAGAGGGGGAATGCAAGGAGTGAGAGGGGGAATGCAGGGAGTGAGAGGGGGAATGCAGGGAGTGAGGGGGAATGCAGGGAGTGAGAGGGGGAATGCAGGGAGTGAGAGGGGGAGTGCAGGGAGTGAGAGGGGGAATGCAGGGAGTGAGAGGGGGAATGCAGGGAGTGAGAGGGGGAATGCAGGGAGTGAGAGGGGGAATGCAGGGAGTGAGAGGGGGAATGCAGGGAGTGAGAGGGGGAATGCAGGGAGTGAGAGGGGGAATGCAGGGAGTGAGAGGGGGAATGCAGGGAGTGAGAGGGGGAATGCAGGGAGTGAGAGGGGGAATGCAGGGAGTGAGAGGGGGAATGCAGGGAGTGAGAGGGGGAATGCAGGGAGTGAGAGGGGGAATGCAGGGAGTGAGAGGGGGAATGCAGGGAGTGAGAGGGGGAATGCAGGGAGTGAGAGGGGAATGCAGGGAGTGAGAGGGGGAATGCAGGGAGTGAGAGGGGGAATGCAGGGAGTGAGAGGGGGAATGCAGGGAGTGAGAGGGGGAATGCAGGGAGTGAGAGGGGGAATGCAGGGAGTGAGAGGGGGAATGCAGGGAGTGAGAGGGGGAATGCAGGGAGTGAGAGGGGGAATGCAGGGAGTGAGAGGGGGAATGCAGGGAGTGAGAGGGGGAATGCAGGGAGTGAGAGGGGGAATGCAGGGAGTGAGAGGGGGAATGCAGGGAGTGAGAGGGGGAATCCAGGGAGTGAGAGGGGGAATGCAGGGAGTGAGAGGGGGAATGCAGGGAGTGAGAGGGGGAATGCAGGGAGTAAGAGGGGGAATGCAGGGTGGAAGGGCTGCAGATAAAAAAACAGCCTCTAATGAAGGACGAAGAGGGGAGCGAGGTGCTGACATGCTGATATCGCCACACACATGCATGCTGAGGTGCATGCTAGGTGCATGCTAGGTGCATGCTAGGTGCATGCTAGGTGCATGCTAGGTGCATGCTAGGTGCATGCTAGGTGCATGCTAGGTGCATGCTAGGTGCATGCTAGGTGCATGCTAGGTGCATGCTAGGTGCATGCTAGGTGCATGCTAGGTGCATGCTAGGTGCATGCTAGGTGCATGCTAGGTGCATGCTAGGTGCATGCTAGGTGCATGCTAGGTGCATGCTAGGTGCATGCTAGGTGCATGCTAGGTGCATGCTGAGGTGCGCTGCACACACCTGGTGGGCACGGCAATGACTGGCATGTCGCACCTGGTGGGCACGGCAATGACTGGCATGTCCACCAGTCCCGAGATGACACTTGGCAGCGCACCATCCATGCCCGCCACCACTATCACCACCGCCGCCTGCCGGATCCTGGGGAGCTGCACTCATGCATGGGGTGTTCATGCATGGGGTGTTCATGCATGGGGTGTTCATGCATGCGGTGTTCATGCATGGGGTGTTCATGCATGGGGTGTTCATGCATGGGGTGTTCATGCATGGGGTGTTCATGCATGCGGTGTTCATGCATGCGGTGTTCATGCATGGGGTGTTCATGCATGCGGTGTTCATGCATGGGGTGTTCATGCATGCGGTGTTCATGCATGCGGTGTTCATGCATGCCCGTGTTCATGCATGCGGTGTTCATGCATGGGGTGTTCATGCATGGGGTGTTCATGCATGGGGTGTTCATGCATGCGGTGTTCATGCATGCGGTGTTCATGCATGCGGTGTTCATGCATGGGGTGTTCATGCATGCGGTGTTCATGCATGCGGTGTTCATGCATGCGGTGTTCATGCATGGGGTGTTCATGCATGCGGTGTTCATGCATGCGGTGTTCATGCATGCGGTGTTCATGCATGGGGTGTTCATGCATGGGGTGTTCATGCATGCGGTGTTCGTGCATGCGGTGTTCATGCATGCGGTGTTCATGCATGCGGTGTTCATGCATGCGGTGTTCATGCATGCGGTGTTCATGCATGGGGCATTCATGCATGCACATAAAGAGGAGGTAAAGCGGCAAAAAAAAAAAAAAAAAAAAAATCCGTTGGGAATACGCAGTGGCAGTCAGGGCCGAGTGAGAGTGGGTGTTGGTGGGAGTGCGTGTGGCATGGCAGCATATGGCAGGAAGCATATCACCGCACAACACGGAATCTGATAGGTATCACAGGGTAGAGGACAGCAGGGCGCATCAGAGAGCAGCTGAGCGCAGAGGCGGTGCGTGCATGACATGCCTGGGTGATGACGCGGTGCAGCCCCGCCACGCCCACGTCAGCGATGACGCCCACCGGCACCCCCATGAGCTCTAGAGTCACCCTCGCCTCCTGCACGCATGCATGCCCATGAGGGCAGGCAGGCATGGTGTTGGTGGGCGAGAGAATTAGACGAGAAATACGCATTTCTTCGGAAGCATGACAACCCGGTCCATTTCTTACTCCTCCCCACTCTTCACCACTCACCTTCCACCTCTCGTCTCTCCTTTGTTTCGTCTTCTCTTCTCTCCTCGTTTCTCTCTACTCACTCCTGTCCTCACGTCTCTCCTCACTACTCTCTTGTCTTCACTTCCTGACTTCTCCATCACCTCTTCCCACAATGCGCCCCACACTCCTCCACTCACCGCACCTCAGCCACTGGAAGGTCAGTGGTACCGGCCGTCACCACCATCACATGCCCGCATGCCGTTTCTCTCCCACCACCACTGCCACCAGTGCTGTCAGCAGCAGCAGCGCTGTCAGCACCACCCCCAGCACCACTCTCGGCTGCCCCACTCGTCTCTGTGCCTCCTGGGGGCAGGGGCAACGGCAGGTGCAGCACACGGGCCAGGGGGTGGTAGATGGCGGAGGGCAGCAGCGCACACACCTGGTGGGGGGCAGCAACGGTGGGGCGCAGGTGAGGTGCAGGCAACATGTCAGAAGGCACAACTTGCGAAGGTGCATTGCGAGTTGTGGGTGATGGGCAGCTGGCCTTGAAGGGCCTTGAAGCCTCATGGTGCCTCACAATGCCGCAACACGCACTCCAACACCCACCACCGCACCTAAACATCCCACCGCACCTAAACATCCCACCGCACCTAAACATCCCACCGCACCTAAACATCCCACCGCACCTAAACATCCCACCGCACCTAAACATCTCATCGCACCTGCTGTGCAGCCTCGGCATCAACCCTGGTGGCCATCACAACCCTCTGGCCGCCTCCTTGATCGCCGGCTTGGCTGGCCCTCTCTGCCATGGCCGTGAGGATAGCGGCTATCTGCTGCGCTGACTTGCCCTGCCCGTACACCACCTGCCGTTACGGGGTTAGGTGTGCCGTGTGGGGGGTCGTGGGGACAGGGGAAGGGAGGGGATGGGACGAGGGTGGTTGTGTGGGGAGGTGGGGGGACGACGGCTATCTGCTGCGGCGCCTTGCCCTGCCCGTACACCACCTGCCACCAGGGGGCACGGTGTTGGGGCGTGGGACGAGGGAGGGGTGGAGAAGAATGCGATGCGGTTACATGAGGAAGTGAAGGACTGGGGGGAAAGCAGTGAGGGCGCGCGGGAAACGAAGGGGTCATGCACATTGGTCGTTACCTGGCCCACATCTGACCCAGTCACCCCCTGACCAGTCACCTGACCTGGGCAGCACCTGACCCGGGCAGCACCTGACCTCGGGCAGCACCTGACCTCGGGCAGCACCTGACCTCGGGCAGCACCTGACCTCGGGCATGCCGGTGCGTGACTGCCTGCCGTGGTCGATGCGCGCAAACTGCTCCAACGGATCCTCCTCTGCCGCTGCTGAGGTGTGGCGGGGGCAAGCAGAGGGTGCGCAAGCAGGGAGATACATCCTTAGTTATCTTGGAGTCACAAGCACCAAGTAACGCCTCCTCCTAACGCCGATCCTCCTCACGCCACTCCTTCTCACGCTTCTCCTTTTCACGCCTCTCCGCCTCTCTCTTTCTTCGCCACTCACGTTCTCTCTCCCCAGCCTCGTCCGCCTGTGCGCGCGGCGCGCACACTCTGCGCGCGCTACTGCGCCTGCCTTGCCCCAAGCGGTCAGCCTTCCAGCGCGTAGTCGCGCACGTGGCGGGCCGCGTCCGCGCTCCAGCGGATTTGCGGGCTCTAGCGCATGACGGGCGGAACGGCGTGAGAGCAGGCTTTAGATGGTGGGCACTGGCGGTGCTTGTCGGGCGGCAATAGCCGCCAATGCCGCGTGCCGCTGGGTGGCAGTGAACGGCAACGCATGGCGGCATGTGGTTGCGATGGTGAGACGAGAGAAAGTGGAGGCGGCGGGGGACGGAGGTTTGAAAAGCTGGTTAAACACGTTCCGCTAGTCCGCCGCACTTTGCGTGCGTAGCGCGGAACGCGGAGACGAGTAAATGGACGTCAAGTTTCGAGTGCTGTTTCGGGATGCGTAATTGATGAAGTTATGACAATCGCATGGGAGTTTCTCAAACTCAGGGATGGGAACAATCAAAGAGAAATACACAACTTCGTTTTAGTCCCTGGAGAATACTACTATAGAAGCATGATGATATCGGGGTTTGACATCCATTTCCTGAGTCGCTATCGCAAACGAGGACAGCGCACTTCCATGAAGATTTCGCGCCACAATTCCTTCCCACATTTGCATTCGATGCGATTCGGCTGCCTAGCAGGCAGCACCCAACCAACCAAAGCAATGTTGGCAACTTGGTATCACAGGCAGGCAGGTAGCAAGGCAGGTTTCCTAAGGGCGTGTCGTGCTTGGCGGAAGTACAGTCACTTTTAGGTACTGTTACCCAATAACACCTTGTAACATCTGCAATTGACAAGCCAACCAGACAGTCACTTGTAGATTTGTTTCTGGCCGACGTTTTTTTTAATGTCCTAGTTCGTGTGCAGCACGTGCCATGCACTCGAGTGCAGAACATGTACACACACATTTCGGGGTTTGCCAAGGGGCCTAGGTGAAATGCGAAATTCGCCAGTACAACCCTAGCGAAAATAACGAAGGTACCAACAAAGTGGAGCCACACCATATCGCTATTTTCTTCGATGACGCTGGCGTGAACGAATCCCGCCGATTTCTACGTGGATTTCGTAGAGGGACAGGGTTACTGCTCGCGACTTCCTGTCAAGATTGATACGCCACACGGTTCTTGTTCGGGTTAAACTGTAGCTCCGTGCGCAGAAAAGTGGCTTCGCGTCAGGCGGACACAAACCATTTTCTGTACGTGCGGGCAGCAGTTTTGGAAACAATCACAATCACGTAAAGAAACATGTAAAAGCCGAAAATACACCCTGCAAGACACGCCCTAAGCCGAGCGCCACTCACAACAATCAGGTTTCCCTCAACATCAATTCATTCAACCACCAACAGCAAACCTGGTATGCTAAAACTCCTCCGAATCGAGCTTACGAATGCATCATGGCACGCCTCCTCTCGTCTCTCGTTCCTCCGCCCCTGCCGCAGCCTCTGACGCAACCTCACCGACCTCCTCATCCCTCGCACCATTCCCCACACCCCCCAGTGCCCTCGAAACCACCCTCGCTGCAACCCCCCCTGGCCGGGCAACCACCACTGCCGACCCAATCCCTCTCGCCGCCAGCGCCGCCGGTCAGCATGCCGCCCAGCGTGCCGCCCAGCGTGTCGGCGCCTACAAGCTACGGCGGTGTGGACGTGGCGGGGTTGGCGCCGTTCATCGCGGGCACGGCGGCGTGCATGCTCGCCTTCTTCGCCGTCGGCCTCCTCGTCTCGCTCGCGCTGCGCTGCCCGCGCCTCCTCGCCTCCGTCCTCCCTACTAGCCTCCTCGTTATTCTCATCCATGACGCGGATATCCCCGATGGCATTGCGGGCGGTCGCACGGCAACGTCGCACGACGACGAGAAGAGTCGCGGGCTAGATCCTGCGACGTTGGCGACATTCCCCGTGGTGACCTTTCGAGGGCTCGCGGGGGGCAGCAGCAGCGGAAGGGCCGGCGCCGGCTGCAAGGGGGAGAGCGGCAAGGATGGGCGCGGCAGCAGCGCTGCGAGGTATCAGCCCGTGAGGTACGCGCTGCCGCGGAATGAAGCGCCTGCGGGTTTCCTTAGCGAAAACCGGACGGTCGGTAACTCGGATGATGATATCTCAGAGAACGGGCTGGCAGGAAAAGCGGAACCTCGCGAGAGATCGAAACGAGTAGAGTCATCAGCGGGACAGAGGGAGAACGCCGCAGCGGGCAGAGGCGCGGAGGTCCGGGGGAAAGAGGAAGGAGGTCTGCGGCGTGGGGAGGGGACGCGTGGAGGGCTGCGGGGCACGGAGGGGATGGTAGTGCCGACGGGAGCGCTGGAAAGGACGGAGACGATGGTGACGGTCGTGGCTGGCGCGGAAGAAGCAGCTTGTTGCGCAGAGCACAGCGAGGGGGGTGCGGCGGAGTGCGACGAAAACGACGCGACGGAGCGCGGCGAGCGGTGTGCGACTGGGTGCGACGAGCGAAGTGCGATGGAGTGCGACGAAAGGGACGCGACGGAGTGCGCGGTGTGTCTGAGCGACTTCGCGGACGGCGAGCAGCTGCGGTGCCTGCTGCCGTGCGCGCACCGCTTCCACGTGGCGTGCATCGATTGCTGGCTGCTCTCGCACACCACCTGCCCCGTGTGCCGCACGGCGCTAGAGCCACGCAAAGATGACGTGGCACTGGAAACCGGCTGAGGCGCCTAGCACCGCCCTCAGAGAACTGAAGCCGAAGCGCGCAGTATCGCACATGCCATGTGGTGCGCGCAGCAGTGCAGCAGAGGCGCACGTGACGAGCTGTGGCTCGTTAAGGGAGCAGCAGATTTGACGGTTTTTCCCTTCACCACAGGGCTGCTGCTGATGAGAGGCCCACGTAAGGCGGCCAGACGTGTGCGACCAGGGGTGTGCGACCAGGGGTGTGCGACCAGGGGTGTGCGACCAGGGGTGTGCGACGAGGGAGACGGAAGCATGCACGTGCGAGCAGAGGGCGTGAGAAAGCTAGATGCTGAAGTGGCTGTCCCATTCCGCCTTCCCAGCTGTCGGCTCGTGTGCAACCAGGACGCTGGCAGCTGACGTCATGGGGAGCCATACGCCGTCATGGGGAGCGAGTCTCTGAAGTGGCAAATACGCTTCCCATGCCATCAACTGCCACCGCCCTGGTTGCACATGCGTGCTGCAGTCTGCATGTGAGGTGTGTCTGAGGTTCATCATAGCAGGGTCCATGCTGCACGCACGGACACATGGACACATGGGGATATGGGCACACGGACAGATGGGCACATGGGCGCAACAATTGCGGGCTGCACTGTGAACAGGCGCAAGGCGTGATGCAGCACGAGCACTCCACCTCGTGCCCATACGTTTGAGATGGGAGTGGATATGGCAGCGGCTTTAAGCTCCTCGAAGCATTTCCCGAAGTTGATTTCATGTTTGCCGGTGCTAGCCAGCTGAAGGCAGCACACCGTTGCATTGCGTTCAACAAGCACACATGCTTCTCACTTGCATTGCATTCCTTGCACCTCCTTCATGGTTTATAGTGCACCGTATCACAAACCATCTCCCTGCATTTCCTGTGTGGCATGGCGTGATAATGGCTGTGATTGAGAGGACAAGAAGACTTCAGGCATTATACAAACACTGTGCGGCTGTCTCAAAGGCCATCAATTGGGACTTCTGTTGCATTGTGCTATGTTTTTTATGATGCCGGTACCTTCCTCCGTACCGTATGTAGAACTGAAAATGGCCTCGGTTGCCAAAAAATGCTTTCCGTTGTCCAGGGCCAGGCCCATGTTATTTTATCCAGGGATTCAAGTCAAGGTACCATGCTGACTGACGGAGATAAATCTGTCAAGTGTTGTGGTAGTCCATTACAGTGCAATTTCTTTGCACTAAAACAAATTCTTATTATTTGAATCACGACTCCTACTAAACAGCATACCTACCTACCAGGGTGTTATGAGTTGTGAAACAGAGTTGCGCAGAATCACGAATAACGAGGCTGTGACCAGGCCCTCAGATTCGTTTTTGGCCTGTCTGATTCGTCAGACTTAGTACACAGTTTTAGTCTGATCAATCAGAGTTGGTACAAAAAAATCAAGCTGAAATTTCAGAGTGGTAAAAAACATAAGTATGAATAATCAGAGTCAACACCAGTGAGAAGTCTGATTGTTATTTTAGAGGTGGGTGCTATGTTGGCCTTGATTGGACTACATTAGTCTTGCCTACATGCATAGCATACCGTACTACTGCTTAACAATCACATAGTAATAACTACCTACCTATACTAAATGTAAATTTTTGAAAGTGAAACACTTTCTAAAATTGTGTATTGTGAATAGCGAAGCGAATTGTACCGAAGCAAAGGCTTCGGCGAACCGCTACTTCCCCTCTTTTTGGTACAAAAGAGGGGGCGAAGGCCATTTGGCCGTGTGTGCGTGTGCACGTGTGTGGCCCGGGTGGCCGTGAAATTGTAATGCTATATTGGAAGTGTGATCCAGGCCGCTGGCCCCTATGGTGCATGGTCCCTATCCAAGCCATGGCAAAAAAAAAAAAAAAAAAAAGCAAGAGAGAAAAACGAGGGAAGGGATTCAAGAACACATGTTTTCACCAACCATTGAGGCAAAGCACCGGTGGTGCGAGAATCATTAAACCACGCCTCGAGATAGGAGGACAAGGGGAGTGAGACCCTGCAATTCACACCCCCTAGCACACATGGCAAAAAAAAAAAAAAAAAAAACATCATTGTGGGCACGAGAGAGAAAGAGAGAGAAGGGGAATGATCGGTAGAACATCATTGTGTGCAACTGCGTCACTGCTCTTACCTCCAACGTTTCTAATGCCTCGCTGTTGGGGCGTGCACAAGCACGCGGGAAGTTGGTTGGTGCGAGATACATGTTCATGTCGTGTTTACAACGTTCGTCTGATTGATTCTTATGAATTCTGCCTCGTTCTACTCGCATAGCATGTTCACGTCGGAAGAGCGCCTTGTGGCTTGACCTAAAAGGGTTGATATACGACTACTGTTGACCCAACCCAACCGCCATGGCAGGCGCTTGTCCCTCACGACCGGGCGAATGGAGTGAGACCATGGAGCATGCGATCACTGACAAGGAAGTCACCACCATGGGGGGTCAATTGCGCCAAGCTTTCGCTTGGTGGGCCTCATGGTGCGAGAGCAGTCTCATCCTGTCAGTCATAGCAAATGGATATTGGCTTCCTTGGAAAGCGGCCCCACCACCGTCGTTTCGTGTCAAGAATCATGCCGGCGTCGAGCGGCATAGCGAGTTTACACGATCGGCAATCTCTGAGTTGCTCTCGTCCGGTGCAGCAGCAGTCGCAGAGGGCCCACTCCTCGTCGCATGTACTAGTCCACTAAACGTCGTGGAACAGCGCGACAAGTGTCGCCTTATCTTGGACTTGAGAAAAGTCAACCAGTACCTCGTTATTCCTAAATTCAAGTACGAAGGCTTGGCGCGAGTCGCCGAGTTGGCACAACCGGGCGACTGGATGTTCTCTATCGACCTGAAGTCCGGATACCATCACGTCGATATCCACCCGTCCTGCTGAAAGTTCCTGGGGTTTCACTTCGACGGCACGGATTACTACTTCAAGTCGTTACCGTTCGGCCTGGCAACCGCACCCTTCCTTTTCACTCAATTGATCAAACAACTGGCTCGAAAATGGCGTGCGCAAGGTACTCGAGTCATTCCATATGTGGATGATATCTTATTCCTCTGCCAATCGAAGGAGGACGCACGTGCGACACGTAATGCAATCATTCGGGACCTACGACAGTCGGGCCTTGTCATCAACGCTAAAAAATCGCACCTCACCCCGACCCAGAAACTGCAGTTTCTCGGGATGGAGTTGGACACTCAATCAGGAAGATTCACCATCGGCCCCGAACGTCGAGCGCAACTCATGCATACGCTCCGGGTGCTTCTCACTGCCTACGAGCATGGACAACGGATACCAATCCGCCTTGTCGCACGGGTCACCGGCATCCTCGCTTCCATGGCGCTGGCTCTTGGCACAACGGCACGAGCATTCAGTCACCAACTCCTAGAACTCATCAATACTGCGCCATCATGGAATGGCAGAACACACCTGACCATGGAGGCTCGTGACGAGCTCAACTTCTGGCTCGACAATTTCGATCGTTTTAACGGGGCGCCGTTTCACATGCCCCACAGCATCGACACGGTGATTCATGTAGACGCAAGCGCTCACAGTTGGGGTGCGACCCTAGCTTCATTCCCTGGAGAAAACCTGCAAGGCAGCAGCCCAATGCCGCACGAGCTCCTCACCACCTCGAGTACACGCCGAGAGCTCGAAGGCGTGCTCTGGGTCCTGCGCACATTCTCAAACCGAATTCAAGGCCGCCATGTGCTCATGCGCGTGGACAACCAGGGCGTATTCTTCATTCTTCGTAAAGGTGGTTCTGGGCAACCCGAGCTCACCCTCCTATGCAAGTCCATCATCGCACTTTGCATGGCAAACGAAATTTGGCTGGCAATCGAATGGATCCCTCGGACTCTCAACGTAGAGGCAGACGCACTCTCCAAGCTAGAAGACAACGACGACTATTCCTTGAAACTCCCTTGGTTCCGATTACTTGAGAGGCGTTGGGGACCACACACGGTTGACCTTTTTGCAAACGCCAATAACGCGCAACTCTCGCGTTTCTTTTCGAAGGTCCCCCACCCACGTGCAACCGCCGTCAACGCCTTCTCGCAGGACTGGGGATCAGAACACGGATTTGCATTTCCCCCTCCTCACCTGATCCCGGCCACCCTGCGCCACGCCGCGCGCACATCTGCTACGCTGACGCTAGTCATTCCCGAATGGACGGGTGCATCATGGTGGCCCCTGCTCCGGCCTTCGCCCACGACCTGGGCAGTCGGAGTAACATCGTGTTTGCATCTTGCTAGCGGTAGCCAGTGCTTGCATGTCGGTTCGCATACTGGCGCATTCTCAGGAACCGGTCTCCCTGTTAGCAAAATCCTTGCACTTCAAATCAACTTCCATTCCTAATCTATGAACATTCATTTTCCTAATGATGTCAGATATGATTCCGAAGCTGCATCAGCAGCTACTGTTAATGACGGCCCAGACACGGTCCGACTCAACAATCAACACATACGAACCTTATTGGGAGAAGTTTAGGAGTTTTTGCGTCAAGGCAAAAGCGGCCTTCCTGCCTGCCGCGGACCTCATAGTCGCACTCTACCTGGTGCATGCGATCAACCACAAGGCCACCGTCTCCAGCGTGCAGCTCACATGTGCCGCGATTAGCTTCGCCCACCGAATGACAGGCTCCGCTAACCCAACATGCGGCCCGTTCACGACACAAGTACGCGATTACGCCAAAAGACACTGCCCCCGACCAGCACGGGTGAAGGAACCCGTCTCCCTTCATCAGGTTCACGCGATGGCTAGGCCATTCCTCCAATCGAGCCAACCAGGCACATATCAGAAAGGCCTCATCGTGTTGCTCATGTACTCAGCATTCTTGCGCTTCTCGGACTTAGTGGCTATCCGATGGGAGGACATCCAATTCGAGGCAACGGCAATGTGGCTACTAATCCCACACTCAAAGACCGACCAGGAGGGCAGGGGTGTATGGGTCCCAGTCGCCACAACTGACGGACCACTCTGTCCGGTGAGGTGCACCCGCCATTTCATTCGGCTAGCGGAAT